TCCATAGTGGCCACGTTTCTCAAAGATCTTTAAATAGCTCTCAGCCCTGTATAGATTTGCACAGCGGTAGTATGACGAACCGGACCCCCTACTACGTGGCTTCTATGGCACTTGCACGCAGTTGGGAAATTAGGTGCCCCCACAAGTATTTGTGTGAAATCCACATCCACTGTACACGGACCAACTGCATGGAGCACGCGTAGGCGATCTGTTTAGTTTTACAGTCACTACGACAGACCCTGTCTACGGTCTTCTTGACTTTGTCCGCAAACTGGGCCAAGGTGAAAGAGGAGTGTGGTGTTGCTATGCAAGTCCAAGACCACTATAAACTAATTGACGCGTACACCACCACTCCTGGACCCGCCTCGTTGTGGGGCTCACAGGGGACAGCATTTTTAGCGATGGTCAACTGTCATACCGTTATCCCAATCCACGCGCTCTATGAATGAAAAGCCGCTTGTCTTTTGGATTAATAAAGTTATTGAAAAAAACTGAAGGATTTCAGGAAATTTGTGAACAAGGCCCCAAGAAATGTTTATGATAACGACAAATAAAATATTACTCTAGGAGTGATTATATAGGCAGCGTCTTAAAATGCATAAGCGGGCGTGGATACAGTGAAGTATTGCCGGTATAATATCAGATAAATAATTTAGTGCCACTGTAAATTTCAACTCTCAACCCAACTCCGGCCCAAGTTTATGGGTTTAGTTGTACTGTCCGAAATGGAGAGGGAAAATCACGATTTGACAAGAAAATTACACCACGGCGGCATTGAGAAGGTAGATGTGTTGACAGGGGGCGTCGTAGTGAACTCAAAACGTTTAAGATACGGTAATACGAGGGAACAGGTAACACGAAGAGGATGGGAAAGCCTACCACTTGATCTCCACGAAGGACTTAACTGACGGCTTGCTAAAAGGAGCACGCACGACAAGAGGCGGGGCTTAGGGATAGTGGACAGTAATTAACTGCTTTGGTAACGCCCGGTAAATCCAGTGTCAAGATTTGCGCGTGCCAAAGCGCAGGGAATGACAGTTGTATAAAGCTTTTTTGAGGTAGGAACCCTTCGCATGTTAACG